ATGTGGGTACTCAAATGAAAGGTCTCGATGAATGTAACATCAGGATGAGCTTATGTCTTAAAAAATGTCAATAGTTCACAAGATACAAGGTCATTTCTTAATTATTGATATTTTTAAAGATGTAAGCTCAACCCGATGTTACACTCATCAAGAGCTTTCATTTAAGTACTCACATGCATTTTGATATATTTTTCATATATACATATATAACATATATATATAAATATATGAAAAAATGATGTGGGTACTCAAATAAAAGCTCTTGATAACTGTAACATCAGAATGAGCTCATATTTAAAAAAATGTCAATAGTTCACAAGATTCAAGGTCATTTCTTAATAATGTATCTAGAGATAGAGCATTTTCGAATGCAGCCTAAATACTTATCATCATAAATTGACTATTAGTGAGAATGATATGAAACCATAAATAGGAACAACTCCAGGCCATTGATGACAATGAAAAGCAAAAAGGAACTTGCGATAAAGATATTGAAAATGTCAATCGATACAAACCCTTTTTCTTGATTTGAAATGATGATTGAAAATCTAACTCCTGAAATAAATACAAACAGAGATAAAATTAAAAGTTATTAATTTTATGTTATTTTATTTGCAATATCCAACACAACTTCAATTACAAGTTTCAATAGTCAAAATAATAATCAATAAACTTCAGAAATTAAGATAATATAATATAATTAATATTATAATGTTAAATGTTATAATTAATATAACCTCAACTTGAATTACTCTCATTAATTTTAAATAATTAAATACCGGGATGAACATAACGAAATTATTATTAGTTCAAATTATTTTTAATTCATTTTTTGACGTTTGTTATTATACTCTGGAGCTGTAATAGATTTTTTGCCTTTTAATAACCAATTTAAAGGTTTAACCTCATCATTTAATTTTTGCATATCATTACTAGTTTCCAGATTCAAAAATAAAATATCATCTAGAAAGTAATTGAAAAATTATAATCAGATTAAGAGAACTTTATACCACGGAAATGTTAAATATATATATATATATATATATATATATATATACGTATGAGTAAACATACCCTTGACTTCTGGAAATCCAATAACTTCAACAAATTTACCTTGACGCAAATCATTTTCAATGTAATCCAAAATTTTAATCTCTAATTTTAGAGTTCCATCAGTGATATAAGTAAAGGCTATTTTGCGAGTAGACGTCCCAGCACTTTTTACACAAAAAGTTGTTTTTAAATAACCACAAGTACCTAAAGTATAAAAATCATTAATATTTATTCTATTAATTATTACAAATAATTTTTCATACTTACGTAATACAGTTGGTAGAAGATTTCCTTGGATTTTATCCAATTGCACTAAAGGATAATCTAATTTAGAATCATGATAAGATATTTTTCTAATGTCTTTTTTTTGCATTTCTCCTAAATTTTGAATAATTGTCTCTTCTTTTATTGCTATTTCAAATTTTTTGAAATTTCCCTTTGTATATCCATTAGATACTTTAGTTTTAGCTTTTTCCAAATAAAC